CAACAGTCAGTTTCTTCCTATTCGTGCCGCGCGATGCATATTCTAGCATATGCTAACCACCAACAGAGTTCAAGCCAATTCCCGGAGCTGGAGGCTTCCAGGTCTCCAACCCTTCAGTCATTGATCTGACCTGTCTTTGTGCGGCTTTGTCCGTCTTTGATCAGACCTCCATGGCCGATTTGCGCCAAAAGTCTTTGAAGCTGACGGCGTATCTGGAGTTCTTGCTTCTGAAGGATACCGACGAGGAGACCCGTCTGTTTGATATTATCACTCCATCGGATCCCCATGCTCGAGGTGCTCAACTAAGTGTTTTGCTCAAGCCTGGCTTGCTGCACAAGGTATCAGAACGACTACAGAATGCGGGTATCATTTGCGACAAGCGGGAGCCGGGCGTTGTTCGTGTGGCTGCAGTGCCGTTGTACAACACTTTCTCTGAGGTGTTCAATTTTGTCAAGGAATTCAAGGGCGCTTTGGCCTCGTCGTAGTTGATAAATAATATTATGAAGACAAATGTGGATAAATATCGAGTACGATAATGCAATGCTCCGTGAATAATATGCCGTGGACTTTTTGTTGTAGGTATTCAATCCCAGGGTTGCAGACAAGATAGAGAGATAAAAAAATATACAGGAGTTGAAGCCTGCTGTGGCAAGCCCTTAGAAATTCCCAACACTTTCCCAGTTATCACCACTGCGCAGGAACTCTTGCCCCTGAGAAAAGAAATTGGCAGCAAGAATAGAAAATTCGTCATTAGACATCGTCAAATGCTGCGGCGAGAGCAAATGGTTTGCTGAGTAGTCCTGGCTAGGGAAGGCGGTATTGGCACTAATCGACTGAGACTGAAGATTTGGTGTCCCTTGATCCTGGACACTCAACCGGAATGGAGGAGGCAAAGGAGACGTCTGAGATACTTCTGCGCCCGCAGAAGACGAACCGGCATAAAGCGACTCCCCGAATAGACGCCGAGCAGAGTCTGTGTCGCTGTTGGATGAGTATTCGAGGATTTCCCAGAATCGGGATAGGTCGATTAGGAGGCTTTGGTTTTGCGCGCCTGGGTCTGGTTGGTAGGTTGCCGAGACCGCATCTTCTAGTCGCTGCAATCTATATGCCTGTTGAACATGGTTAGATTGTTGTTTTACCCGAGAAAGATATAGAAGATAGAGGTTCATACCAGTCGAGCCATGTGCGGCCACCTTTCTCCCATGGTTTGCACGAATTTGACACACTTGGCGAATCTTTCACGTTTATGTTCTCTGATAGTCAAATCATCAGTGAAACTGAGTTGCAGCTCGATTGTAGCGACAACGGCGGCGCTGTAGCCTAGTAACGGATCTGATACTAGAAATGACTTTTCTTCGAAGCAATTGATGAAGTGAATGATCCAGGTAGTATGCGAGGAGATTAAGTCCGAGGTATGCTGCAAGAAGATCTCTGGGATAGTACTCCGGAAATTCCGAAGGCTAAGCGAGAGAAGCAGTGGATGATTGAGCAGACACAGACTGGTATGATAAATGAATTGATTCAGGAACCACGGGCCCCAATATTCACGATGTGCCTGTAATTCCTCAAGAGATCGTTCAGCGAGATTGGCTGGTTTGAACCGATGAAGGTATGGCATGCGAGTCTCGAGGTCCATTTGTAAAGCGAGGATTTTCGAGTATTCGGAATGAGGAGACCATGGTGGGACATTGCTTGGACGACCGTGAAGGCGCACGTATCGTGCGGTCCTTGCGAAGACTTCGCTCAGCACTACCACATATGCAATAATTCCTTCATCTTGCATGTCACTTCGCCGTATTTCGCCGGTGGAAGGCCCCGGAGAGAGGAAGCGAGGTGGTCGTGCCGGGCTTTGGGGATATGGAGGGCCTCCGGCTTGGGGTATGTCCGGGATTGGGAAGTCACCGCCATGTAGTCGTTTGAGAAGGCATATACTCCAGAAGCAGCGTCTGCGTTCTTCGCGGACTATGATGCTGGTTGATGAGCGGGGCTCTTGTCCGAGATTAGCACATTGTGCAAGGTTCATTGCTAAGCTGCTGTGGATGCTGGAACGATGTGTATTGCCGTCTGGTAGATATTATTAGCTCAAGTTTCAATATAATTGTTGGAAGTGCTAAGCTCGTACTCGTGAAGTCGACCAAGCTTAGAATACATAGGCATTGAAGCGTCGAAAGCTCCACTGGCCCTTCGGAGACTCTTTTCATAACAAGGCCCCGAGCAACCTCAGCATAGCTATTTACCAGGCTAGTGAAATCAGCTCTGTTGCGGTGAGCGTATGAGAAGCGAAAGGCAAGTGCTAATATAGCAAAGAGAAGCTCCGTCTCGCGTGTCTGTATAGTGGAGAGAAAGCTATCCCTGTAGAAAAGAGGCAAAGGCTGAGAGTCACAGTATAGCAAATATAGCTCTGCAATGGGAATAATCTCCTCCAATGGTGGTAGTGTTATAGATGAGCTTGGCATTGAGGATGGCACAGACAGAATATGAGATTCTGTAGGTATCTGCGGCTCACTCCTCGAGCTGCAGCATGTTTCTACGAGTAAGTAATTGCCCAAATAGGGATGCTGAATGTTCTTACCCAAGTACATCCAAAACCTCTCCCACTTTGCTTTCAAGGCTTCGCAATCTATCTTCCTATGATAAGATCAGCATTTGGATAAAGCCGGTGGAGTTTGCATTGAGAGATAAAAGAAATACTCACCAAAACCCGAGACGTGCGAGGGTCCGACTCATTGGGTCTTGGGCTCAACTCGGGAAGTGGCCGACGCCTTTCTTCAGCGTATAGGCATTGTTGCCGTAGTCTGGCACATAAAGAACAGACCGGCTGCTCTCCAGGGCATTTAGCTTTCTTACGCCTGAGAAATCGGTTAACAGCTATCTTTTTAAACAATTCGAGGGGTATGGTACCTGCAAGGCTCGCAGGCCTGACGAACCCGCTTGGTAGGTCTGTCTGAGTAGGTGAAACTCTCGTCTTCCATTGTTGTATCTGTGAGAGTCAAAAATCAGGACGCACGGCTCTCGATGAGGAAATTCATACTAGGAGCATGGATCGGGTGTTCCAAAACACCAATTGACAGTGTTTATCAAAATAGAGATATTTTCAGTGCATTATCATGCTTTAAGGGATATACGGATCTCAACGAGCAAAGCCGTATATTATGGCCTGGAGCCAAGAGTTACTAACTCGTGAAATTGACCAGTGGATATTCTGAGGCCCGGGGCCCCTGTGAAACAGCTGAGTCATCAAGTGTAAAGCACCCGTGGACGCGGGCCGCGGGGGCGCCTGGGCTCCGGGGCTTGTATCCTACTACCGTCTTCGGCATCACGTCCAGCCTCACCCATTGTGAGCTTTTATTGCGCTTACTTAGTTACATATATGCCCCGAGCTGATAGGACTGAATGTTCTTGTACAGTCCGGTCTTGTACAGTCCGGTCCGCGTATTCCTACATAACCATGTTCGTCAAAATATATCTTTTAGTCTCATTTTGAACTTTTATGACTGGCCTGTTTCGCACAAGCGGTAGACTACATATGTATATGGCTACCACAGAAGGTAGAGTTCAACGCTCTGTAAAAGGACATCGAAGATCGACCGTCTCCTGTGTATGCCTGACCAACCTTGAAATAGGTAGCCCAGACGAGTCATGCGTCATCCATTTCAAACTTCGCCGAATAAGCTATCTCTCAACTGTCGTAATATCAACAATCATGGACTTAATGCTTGGAAAGTTACCGCCAATTAGATACTTTGCAGCCCAGCTCGGCTCCAGCTTTTTACGAGTCATAACGCGGCCGCCTCTACTCTATCAAAAACATTACCACCCAACTTGGGGCGAGAAATCCGAACAAGTACTTCTGTGAAACCAGGGAAACGATATATGGCAGCATCTCCTGGATTGGCGCTTGAATTGATGATATGTACAGCTCCAAATCTGCGTGGCTGCCAACCCATCTAACCCCTTCCTGGAGTAGAAATACACCATACAAAAAACAACCGATGCCGCAGCTTGGCTAACCAACGGAACTGAAAATGGCATCATTTATCTCTGCCAGAATAAGTCTTGAGACCTATAATTTAGATCCAAGTCTTGTGGCCCTGTGTGAAGAAGTCAGCATGTGAACATATTGAGTCGGTTACTCGTGCTTCTCGTCGGGTATGAGAAGTAGCGGGTGAGTGAAACTAACAAAAACCATGCGGCACATGGCGTAGGTGGAAGCTATTGTCAATTAGTTTTCTGTCCTCGACCGGATGTCATATCTGAAGATGGGCCCACTTACCAGCACCGAGGCCGTAGACCGAGATGAGGTAGGGGTACATGATGTAACCGGAGCGGGAGGTCTGCAGGACAAGTCCATTGTCAGTTTCTTAGTCTGTCCGAAGCTCAATTGAGGGCATAGGTGCCCCTTCCGGAGTGTACTGACCTTCCACCACTGGCGCTTGCCATCGTGGTTCTGGAAGAGACGCTGGTAGTAGGGCACACGGTTCTCACGGAACACGAAGCTAAACGGAGCCAATCAGTCAGTATAATGTACAGTAATATGGCGGGATGGCAGGTCCCCGTAGCCGCATCAATCGCAATTGGACCCCGAACATCAAGGGAAGAAATTCGATGGGCGCACTCTCAAGATCGGGTTCGGCGCGGGGAATTTATGGAGCGATTCGAAAGGAAGACGTACCCAGCCATGCGGGAGCTAGTAGCACGGAACATTTTCGCGGTTGGAAGCGAAGAAGGAGCGGGGATGTGAGGTACGACGTGGGCAAGATCGGGATGTGAAGTTGGTCCCGGAATGAGCTGGATGTCGTGTCACGTGCCGAGCATCACCTGATCGAATCAGACGTTGTATCTGGTCATCATCCCAAAAGGGAAAAGCGCCAGAAAAGTCCCCAGACGCGTATCAACTTTTGAATATTCGGAAGCGAAGCTTTTGGATTGACGTCGGGAGCTTGAAGAAGGATGTTTGACGTCGAGAATTTGCTTTCCCGACCTTCATTTCTTAACCACTCATGCGCCCGGCGCTTCTGCGACTGTTGAAGAGGCCGTCCGCCGTCTCGATCCTTGACACACTCACAGCAACACCGGTCGGAATTGAGCAACTGGAGTCCAGGTACAGGTGTCTACGATGTCATTCGCGAAGCGCCAAACGAGAACCACTCGAGGAACCCGACAATAACTCGACCCGGCATCAGCTTGAAGATTCATGCCGAGGGAAACGGCCATTCAGCTTTCCCATCTACGACATTGAGGCCTCGAACGAACCAAATACCCTTGAGCCCACGCCTCTCTTCGAGAGTCAAACGAATAATAACGCGACACAATGCCCTACCAAATTTCTGTCTCTCCGACCGGACAAGCTTGAATTCGAATCGGACGTCGGACACCTCAACAACATTGGAACGCGATTAGTGGATAACCCGGAACACCGAAATAATCTTGATCTGTGGGAGGAGCTACTTCGATACCGTCAGCGGCACTACGGCGACAATGGCACGCTAGACATATGGGAAGGATTGAGGGTCCGAGTGGATGGTGTACGGCTTCCAGTTGCAGGACAGCAAGCGGACTTCTTTTGGCAGAGCTTTGTGGATATGGGATTGAGGCGAGAAATTTTTCTAAAGGAGGTTCTTGACTATGCTGTCATCATACGGGAACAACAAGGCAGCCAATGGCCACAGCTGTATGAGCGCGTGGTGGGTGGACTTCTTGAGCAGGGCCTGACGAGGCGTGCGGTCGAATGGCACAAGAAGCTTCAAAGTTCCCACCTAGCCAGCGCAAGTGATGTGCTGAAAATCCTTCCATCCGCGATCCGTTCTTCGTCTCTTCCGGCTGGCACGGAATTTGCGACTTTGGCTGATCTTGAGCGGTCATCCTTGTCGCCGGGATTGCAGGCATTTCAAGCGATATGCTCCACAACCCCCGACCATGGTTTTTATGGCCCTGTCATTGCGATGCTTATGCAGCAAGGCCACGGCGAGGCGGCGATCTCAATGCATCATTTCCTTGCTCAACGTCAGGATCACCCACAGAGCCCCGACGAGATACAGCCATTGCTGGAGTATGTTGAGAAATTTGGGCTACGGAAAGAGTTCAATCGGCTCCGTGGCTATGTCAAAAAGCGATTTGATAGCGAAGCTTCGATTGATCAACCTGGCCCAATAGATACGGCACCGAAGCCCAAGGAGAAGGGGTCGCAAGACGAAAAGCCCTTCAAAGATGACATTGGTGCTAAGCTGTTTGCCACTCGTGCTCTCAATTTCGATATGATCGTTGGTGGCCTGAAGATGCTCGGTGTATCAGAGATCGGCCACCGGACTTTGCGCGAACTAGCTACTCGAGCTCACGGCAACCAAGATCTTCTGGACAAGCTCAAGGTACTTAAGCAGTCCGGCATTTCTATAGGAAACACCGTCTTCTCGCGATTAGTTCAAAAACTTGCAACCCAAAACCGCGACATCCTTCTCTCCGACATCCTCCGCAGCGATCAACATCCTGACACTCTCGAAGACAAGCGTATGCAAGAGTCAATGCTGGTATCTTACTACATGGCCCGGGATTGGAGATTGTACAATATGACTCTAGCGGTGTTGACGGAACTATACCCGGGTGCCCCAGACCTCTACGACATCCATTTTCGAAAGCATATCGCGGCCTGGGAATTGAGCGCAGCATCTAAGGTCGCCGACGAGCTAGCTCTCCGTGGGCGGACATTAGGCGAAGACAGCGTGGATTTCATGGCCGAGCAGATCCTCACCCCCGGCGAATGAACCATCGTCCGCCACCAGGTCAACGCCTGTCTGCCGTCGAAGAAGTGATCTTCATCTTCAAGATTCTAAAACGCGTGGTTCCCGCGGGAGGGTATGTCAGTGCTGCATTCTGGATTGAGATGCTTAAGCGTCTCGGCATGGCAGATGCATGGGCAGACTGGGATAAACTCCGAGATTGCTGTCAGTGGCTCGTCCGTCAATATGCCGAAAACCCTGAGCAGAAGAAGCCTTGGGCGGATTTTCCATCCCCCAAATCGGCTCTTGATCCCATCAAGCAGGCCAACGGTCGCGATCGGCGGATGCTCGACCTAGTCTTTAACCCACAAATGCAAGCCGCCATTGTCTCCTGGGGCTTCATGTTCCGAGTATTAGACACCACCGCATCGAAATTTGCCATCGCCCCACCTAACTCCCAAACGGACGAAAAGCTCATTCCATGGGTACGGGGGCTTATTCTACTCCGAGAGCTAGAACAATCCGGCCTTCGTCTTGACAAACGATTGATCTCCCAGGCAGTTCGCCACCGGCTGGCTATGCTCTACAGCCACCATGTTCTATCCGCGCGGCGTATGAATCGTATGCTACGGCGGCGGAACCCATATCCTCTACAGCAAGTGTTGAACGATGTGTTCCAGGCCTGGGGCGATCGTTCTCTCTTTGATGGGATGGAACAGAACTTGGAACAGCTGGTGAATCCGCCACGAGCAAGCCGAACGAAGCGACGCGCTCCGGGTATCCGTTTGTCGCTTAAAGGACTGTGAGTCCATGTATATTAGCAAATATGTAAATAATTGATTATAATACCCATATCGAGAATCAGTGTACACGTATGTTCTCTCCCGTAGTTGAGACATTGATCGTCAAGGATTAATAAAAAATTCATCTACAGAGTATAAACTCGTATATTGCTAATACAATTACGGGGTATGCCCAGAAGAACTGGGCTATGTCACAAATCCAAGTGGTCGGTTGGTATAAATAGGCCAATGGCAGTGCACTTGTCGATCCACCGGATCTAAGAATAGTTGAGAGGGCAACGCGGCCTTGTAAACATTTTGTTTATTTGAACTTGCGCTCTCCCTTTTCTTGTTCTTATTTATATTTGATCTTTCTAAAGAGTATATTATTACATTACTACATTATTACATCTCATATATCATTTGTGTATAACTATGCGAGTATTCAACTTCCTGGCATTGTTGCCTGTGGTCCTTGCGAACCCTTTGGTCCAAAAGCGTACGACAGCGTGCAACAACTCTCCTGATCTCTGCTCCAAGTCCTATGGAGCAATTACACACCTGGGCGCCCACGACAGTCCCTTTGTGAGCGATAGTGATACTGGCAACTCGCTAGCTGCCAACCAGTACTACGACACTCCAACACAACTATCAGCCGGTGTCCGACTAGTAACAGCCCAAGTCCACAAGAGCAACTCACAATGGCGTCTATGCCATTCCAGTTGCGACCTTCTCGATGCGGGGTTGCTGAGCGATTGGCTGGCGGATATCAAGACGTGGTTGGATGACAATCCAAACGAGGGTGAGTTAGTTCCGCAATGTCTAGAAAGACAATAACTAACCGTCCGTCTCAAAACAGTTGTCACAATCCTGCTAGTCAACTCCGACGATGCTACGGCCTCCGATCTCAACACCGAATTTACAACAGCCAACATCACCGACTACGCCTACGAGCCTACAACCCAAGGTACCGCACCAACAACCTGGCCAACCCTTCAAACTATGATCGACGACGGCAAGCGCCTCGTCGTCTTCGTGGCCTCCCTAGACACCAGCACCAGCTACCCCTACCTGATGTCCGAATGGAGCTACGTCTGGGAGAATCCATACGACGTGACCTCCCCGTCGAACTTCACCTGCGAGGTGGACCGACCGTCAACATACAAAGACAACAGTGCATCCGCCCTATCAGCCAACCTCCTTCCATTGATGAATCACTTCCTGTACTCGAGCACCCTCGCAATTCTGGACGTCGAGTACCCGAACTCCAGCTACGTGAGCACGACGAACGCTGCGTCCGGTGGAACAGGCAACCTAGGTACTGCGGCGACAACCTGCAAGAAGGCGTGGAATGGACGACAGCCGACTTTCATTCTGGTTGATTTCTTCAACCGTGGTCCGGCTATTGATACCGTTGATAACTTGAATAATGTTACCAATGCGGTTGGCCGTACGTCTGTCTCGACCTCGGCGTCTTCGACTAGCGATGCCTCGTCCACGAGTAATGTGTTCAAGGCTCTGGTTGAACTTGCGGCATCGGCTAAGTCGGGGACCTCGGTGTCGATGGGGAATTGGATCTGGACTGGTGGGAACTGGGGAAATCTTCTCGGTGGGGGGATTTCTTTCTGAACTGAGTAGATTGGTCTCAGTATCTCATGTTTTGTTTTGTTTTTATTTTTGGAGCGTTTAAACGTTGTTTCTTGGATATCTTTTGAATCCTGCGGTATGGGGCTGTGCCCTGGCTGGATGGTGCATAGTGCAGGGATATAGGGTATTTGCATTCAAGGGCAAGGCGTTTTGGATTAGATTTGGGATGGGCTGGATTTCCCCAGAAGATCTAGTCATCTAGTTTTCTACGAATGGAATGATTCAAAGTCAATTGTCTGTGTTTTCGACTTTTTGAAGTTGAACTCCTCTTCTACTCTACTCTACTTCTTTCCCAATATCTGCTGCACTTTAGTGACCTTATCCTCGAAGGACTGCACTTTATCAGTCCTAATATAGACAGTTAGCAATGAGAAATGGATTACGCAAGATAAGATGAGCAAGGAGCATAGAATAAAAAATATTAAAAAAAAGCAAACTCACCTCGTTCCAACCCGGATATCAGTATGAATTCGAACAATCCCCTTCTCATGAAGAATCGTATGCGCCTGTCCGATAACCTGATGAACCCGGTCCCAAGATCCTTCTACAAAACAACAAAATAGTCAGTAAATGTAGAAATAGTGCCACACACAGGCCAATCAGCTCCCGGCTCCCAGCTCTCTCCCCCTATCTGTTTCCTGTGATTTCAGTTTCAGCTGCATGGACAGATACAGCCCACAGTTGGTGGAGATGAGAGGCACGAGTTCCACATAGATAGGAACCGGAACCGGAACTGCGGAGGACTGCGGAGATGGCCGAGGTAATATCATATGATACTATCTGATACTATAATACTACGTAGTGTGTAGTATAATATAGTATTGTAGTCTTGAGACAGGTGCTCCGTACGTACCGAGGGTTGTGCCTGCGGAATGCATGACATACTTCAAGCCGCATGTTTCAACCAGCCGCTGAATGTCAGCAACTTGGTCTGAGACTGAGGGTGAAGAGGTGCCGATCTGGGGTTATGCTGTTAGTGTGGAGCTAGGAAGAATGTGACTTGTCTACGGCTTGCTTACCGGGACCAGGCAGAAATCGGCGACGCAGTGGGCGGGGGTTGCGATATTGGCCATGTTGCAGATTGGGATGGTGAAATGGCGGGGTAAATGAGAATATTCGTGTTAGATTGGGAGATGGGGAGAGGAGATCAGAGAGAAATTAGTATATCGAATGTTTAACGAATGTTTAGTGGGGAGATGAGATGAGGATGTGGTCAGTGTGACACGCCATATCCGCAGGGCTGAACATCGACATTTACGACATATTGACTCATATTACTACATTTATTGCACTTTACTGCACTTTACTGCAAGACAGATTAACAATTACATGGACTCTCGAGCCTCCAAGATTCATCTCACATCTGCACAGTCTCCTGCATCTCTACAGTTTAAGAGCATTTGCTGACCGCCCCATGTGGTTTGGGCCCTTTTTTTTTCTCATCTAATCCTAGGGAGATTCCAAATATATATAACTGGGTAGAGGTCTTCTATTCTATGATTTCCCAAACTATTTTAACTCCTTTAGTATGATCGACCCCGGGGGTACGCCACTGGTTCCTACTAAAGTCCCCACAACTGAACCCTTGCCCAGTTTTTAAAGTGAATGTCGGGCTTCTTTGTCCGGATTCTCCGTCTTTTCTCGAAGTCTTCTCCTTTCGGTTCATCCGTTAGGAGCTTTGTGTGCTCTTATTACTTTGAATCTTGGGCTTTGAGACTGATTGGATATCCCGACCTTGGAAGTGTGATCCGGCTAAACTCGGTTTAGCCCCTTTGGATCTTGAGCCTCTCATCACTCTCTGGTATATGCATAGTTCACTGGCGATATTGTTTCCTACATTCTCAACCTTTTACCCTCGGATTCCATTCAATACATTCCCATCAGTGGCGGGGAAACCTAAATTGTTCAGCCACGTCATGATCACACAGATAATTTGGATTTCCGGCCCAACGCTCATCCCTCTAACGGATGACCAAACCCAATCTACTTGAACTCCCCTCGGGGGTTCAGCTCGTCTACCTCGCCGAGGGAGGAGCAAATGTGATTTATCGATTTGTCCGGATTCCACTCGCCAAAAAAGACCCTAAGAGGCCATTATCTCCACCTGCACACGACCCGGATCATTGCCACCTACCAACCCAACTGAAGGGAAAATTACTCCGACTCCGCAAAGAAACCGCGGCCGACATCTCCTACACGGAGATTGCCCGTAACTTCGACACCATCATCCGACCGTTATTCAACCCGGAAGAACTAGTCGACCAAACCCTCATCAGACTCCCAGAGGGACTCCTCACCAGCTGCAACGAGCAACTCCGCATCGCCGAACTAAATGGCGCGCGTCCCAAGAAACGCCATGGCAGCTATCTCTGTCTACACGAGCCGTTCGGCTTGCTCATCACCGACATGACGACGGCCGGAGACCCAGGCGCCATCCTAGCCGAGCTGAAACCGAAATGGCTCAACCAGTCGCCATCAGCGCCCGCGACAGCACATCGGTGTCGGACATGTGCGCTGAGGGAGATGAAAAACAGAGAATCCCAACTCCAAGGCCTGAAAGAGCAGCGGTCGTTCTGTCCGCTGGATCTGATGTCGGAGCAGTATGACAATGTGCTGCGGGCGACGGGGCTGATCAAGGGGTGCAAGGACCGATCGCGACTGGCTCGGATTTTGTATCGGAACCCGACACTACAGAGACTGCAGTCGTTGCAGAAGACTGAGAGGGAGGTCGGGTTGCAGGGTCCGTCTGCGCAATCTCGGGAGATGTCGCTGGCGATGACGCTGCGGGACTGTACGATGTTTATCAAGGTGAGTTTCATGCTACAAAATCGGGGGTTGTTTTAGGCAAAATCAATCGAAATTAACCTCCCTGCAGATCCCACATGACGAAAAGTCACCTGTTGAAATTCGTCTTGGTGACCTCGATCTGAAGACAGGCGCTGGCGGGAAAGCTGGCTACTGGCGAGACCTGGAAACACGGTTGATTGATCAGGGCTGGTATCGGGGAAGCAATATCAGTCAAAATTCGGGCGACTGCGCTTTGCATAGCCCACGAAGACCCTCCCAGTCTCATTTGGTATAAGACTATCTCGACCTCGTCTCGAATGGCGGTTCGTGTTATTGATGCATTGCAATTTCTTTCTTTCTTTCTTTTTGTTATTGAGCATAGGACGATGGATGCTATGAGTGTGATTGGCGTGATTCCTCTGGCTTGTACAGTATTTTTGACCTTTATGATTTGTTTTCGGGCGGCCTTTTTGTTATTTCGTGGGTTGGTTTTGGGCAAGGGTGGATTTTTGACATTATTCTTTAATGACTGCACGTTTCTTCGAATATGAAATATTGAAAAAGAAAACATTCAACTGTTATCGGTCGACAGGTGTCATGTAAGCGCTACCCAACAAGCTCCCAAGCTATCCCAAGCTAGCACTAGTCTATAAAATACCCAGGTGGATTACTGAGATACTTTAGCATGCTGATTCGCCTCTGTATTCCACGAGAATGGAATACATCAGAATTAAATGCGCATTCCTTCCTCATCCCGCCGCTTCACCTTGGACGTATCCTCCATTATTACTCAAGCGTTGGGCAAGGCACGCCGAGAGTATCAGAAGACTGACTATTGGTATCGTCAGGAGGTGGTCTGGCTTCAATCATGACCAGACGCGTTATCTCCTCCCATTTTGTTCGCTCTGGGCCTTCTTTGAGAATCGGATCGATCCATTTCAAAGCGTTGTCAAAGAATAAAGTCGTGTCTTGCTCTGTTACTTCATCGACTTTGAACGTGCCTGGGTTCAGAGCTAAAACTGTGTTCAGTTGAGATCTCCCAGAGTTAAGGTGAATTTGATAGCGATTCATCGCAACACCTGCGTCTGACTAGGAAGATTGAATTGCTCGAGATACGTGAATCACTCCCAAGTTTTGGATTCGTGCCTCTTTCAGCCCTATATTAAAGTGGTCGTTTGGGATTCTAGTGACTTCAATAGATTCCGATTTCAGACGCAAAATCTCCAGGCTCATCATATGATACGAATATCCATAACGAACGTCGAGGCAGATAGGATTAAGACGGGCACCAAACCGGTCGAGGTTACAGTTGTCTCCCGCCTTCTTAGAAAGTAGCAAACGGCTTGCGGATGGTATTATAGACCAACACCAAAGTGGTTGGTTTCCAGTAAGTTGAAAGGTGTGCAGAGTGCGGGAGATGTCCAGAAAGTCGATCAGTGCAGAAAATGGGAGGATTCCAGCGAGTTCTTCCAAGGTTCTGACTACGGATGACTAGCCAACACGGCATCCATGGCAGCCCGAGCAATTTCGAACACTGTTCCGGATATGAAAATGACGCTGTAGATGGCAAAGCTGATCTCGTGTCCGGATTGTAAACTTCTTTCTGCAATCGTTCAGTGTAGAGCTTTGGGTGTATGGCAACGTTAAGCCGACGAGCTGAGAAAAGAATCACATGGGCAGCTGTGCATGAGGTACCCCTCCAGGACTCAGCCGCAGCGATACGCGCTATGATACCAAGTCATGGCCCCAGCCCTGGCTCGAGTACGGAGTACTCCGTAGGTTGATTGGAGAGACACAAAGGCGGCCCACCACCAAGCAGGAAACATCATTGCATTGCATATCACTCCGTAATATCCAGTATGGATTGTATGGATTCAGCCAAAACTAGCCACCATGACACCAATACGGATTTCGATCCAAAGCCAGCCCTCAGGGCTCGATTTTCTCTTTGAATGGAGGACACTGGTGAGTTGTTTGACGCCCGACGAGGCCCCGGGATCTGTTCCGGTTAGTTCAGCTCAGCCCAAGGCCCGGGATGAATTATGGCTGCTACACCTCAGACTCCACTCTCGGTCGATTGGTCCATCCTAGCACTAACATGCACGCACCTGGGTGAAACACCTAAGTGCAATTGATCGGGGGCCATGATTCATGAGATATCCATGTGCGCCATAGCCGCCCAGCCATGTAGACTAAGAAAAAAGACACCATGTCTGATTCTCCAAATTCACCCATAACAGCAGTATTCCTCAACCTCTGCTACTATACACCATCGTGAGCCATGTCGTTGTCATTAAAAGATGTAAAATCAATATTGGAATCAGTGGAAACAGCCACAGAAAACTTCGGCTTATGTCGCAACCGCGTCTGGGCGATAGCTAAGAGCTTACGAGGAGGCCCCTCAGAATTTCCAAAGTTGATTCCCCCGGGGAAAACTCCATCACGCACCATAAAAACTGAAAACCATGAGCTCTGTACATTCGACTTCTGTGAGCAATCTCGCGTGAATTTTACTCTTGTGGAGCAGCGTCACGAATGTCCTGATCCAGCTAAGTGCAAGGCCCAACGATTCCCCACTGAGCTTGTGGCAGACGCTATCCGAAAAGAGCAACCCACGGCGTGGAACTTTGAGGGAACCGAGACCCTTAAAACTGATGAGCGCTATATTGCAATCTCACATGTATGGTCCGACGGTACCGGGGCCGGAAATCAAGCCCCAGGCCATGTGAACAAATGCCTGATAGACCTTTTTAGAGGATTTGCCGAGAAATTTGGCTCCAAGGGTATATGGTGGGACACTATCTGCATTCCAACATCGAAAGAACTTCGCGAAAAAGCTTTGAAGGGCATGCAGGAAAACTACCAGACCGCAGCGGTCACACTAGTACACGATTGCTTTCTCAGGGACTGCGAATGGCGCGATGCAGACTCAGCATGCTTTGACATCATGATGTCTCCATGGTTCAGCCGAGGCTGGACAGCACTGGAATTGAAGATGTCTCAGAATGTCAAAGTCATATTTAAAGGTCCCTCAGCCTCTGGTCTAATAACAAAAGATCTAGATGACGATATATTGAACGTAGCAAGCAATGAGCACAGTATCGCAAAAAAAATGCTCAGAAAGCTCCGGGGAGGGGAGAGAGTTAGCCAATTGAATGATCTGTTGGCCATCCTCGGTTCACGCCACACCTCCTGGCCGCGGGATATGGCGATCATTTCAGCCCTTATGATGGGAATTGAGTTGCCCGAAGATTTCACTCATCAAAGGATTTATCAAGAGATCCTGCAGAATACCGAAGGAATATCCCATGCGCATTTGTTTCACAATTCAGCGACTATGGCGAAAGGATACAATTGGTGTCCTACAATTATCTACGAACTGCCTGTCACATCCCAAAATGGCACTCTTGAAATTGAAAGGAATGGGACTTTGTTTGGCAGGTGGGACATCATGTCTCTCGACCTTATTGAAGACGAAAAATTTAGCTCTGGTCGTGCCCATCAGCTGATAGATGCAAAGGTTCACCTTGCTCGAAAGGAGAAAGATCGACATTTCTTACTTATTGAGCCTGAACTAGCGCTTGGAGAGACCATAGACAGGGCTATTGTTGCCAGGCCTTTGATCGTACGCGAGCAAGGCTCAATTGATTGTTACTGTGATTATGTTGGCCCGGCTTACTTTCACCCACCTTTGAAAAAAGCAGAGATCAAGAAGCGTGGTCAAATCATCCCATTTAACAATGTTCATATTGGATTCGACGAGAGCGTTTTCAACAACAGCCATGAAAGCACCGACAGGGATCAGAGTGCCCGGTGTATTATTGTGGACTTGAAGCATCACGGTGGTTTCCAAGACACGCAGCCTAAGAAACGACAAGTTGAACTCCATTTCAATTCACGGGACCATTCAAAAATACGGATTGAGCTGATGAAAGCTATCGGTATCGATGATGAGAAAAAGGTAGAAACTCTTCTGAGAGAGCTACCTGAAAAACATTGGAACAACACTGACGAGCGGACTGGGCACTCTGCATTACACCATGCTGTTTGGATCGGCAAAAGGAAAGTGACCAAACTACTTGCCAGAATGTTGGATGTCCAAAAAAGGACTAACAAATCTGGCGAGGAACCTCTTCATCTCGCAGTCGAACGTGACAACAAAGAGCTGGTCTCTATACTGCTGAAAGGGTCCACCCTTGACTTGAAGCGAGATGATGGACTGACTGCCCTACATCTAGCAGCGAAAGGGGGTCATACTGAGATCGTTACCGAACTGTTACGGATGGGATGGGACCCCAATACAACAAACGATGCCCAAGGACAGACTTCACCAATTATTGCCTCTAATACAACAAGCGATGGTCGAGGACAGACTGCACTACATATTGCCTCAGCGAACGGATTCTACAATACAGTGGCTGCCATTCTCAATAGCAACGCCGACCTCAATCTCAAAGACCAAATGAAAGAGACTGCTTTCTCCTTAGCAGTTTTCAATGGACATGAAGAGACTGCAAAGTTACTGAGCGGGAAATTGTCAACTCTAAGCAGCTATGATCTACTCGAACGCGCAGTAATGCTCAATGACGATAAATATATAATAATCCTCCACAACTGCGGAGCAAACATTGAAGCAAAAGACAAATCTGGCAAGACCCCGCTTCACAATGCGGCATTCTATGGTATTGATGACTCTATCAGAGCCCTCCACAAGCTCGGAGCAAACCTCGAAGCCCAAGATCACTCCGGTGCAACCCCGCTCCACGAGGCGGCATTCTATGGTATTGATGACTCTATCAGAGCCCTCCACAAGCTTGGAGCAAACCTCGAAGCTCGAGATCACTCCGGTGCGACCCCGCTTCACAAAGCGGCATTCTGTGGTAAAGATGACTCTATGAGAGCCCTCCACAAGCTCGGAGCAAATCTCGAAGCCCAAGATCACTCCGGTGCGACCCCGCTTCACAATGCGGCATTCTGTGGTAAAGATGACTCTATCAGAGCCCTCCACAAGCTCGGAGCGAACCTTGAAGCCCGCGATAACTTGGCCGTACTGTTACGGAAATACTAGTCACCAGGCAGTTACGTCCCCGCAACTGACCAATGGCCAGAGCCAACCGATCGAGGTGCCAACAAACCTACATGAATCTAGGTGGGGCCGGAAAAAAAACTACTTAACGACAATGCTACGCATGAACCAACTATCTCAAGACGAGGAATGTCTTGAGGACAAGTTCCTGGTCTACTCCAATCAAGAAACAACGGACAAGAGTATGTCATGCCCGGGAACCTTCTGGTCCCCAAGGCAGACTCGTAACGTATCCCATCTATGGATAGGAAGGACTTGGTTTTATAAGGGCCCTCATTTATGTACTTAATTATTCGTCTTCAATCCCCCATTATTACTGGTAAACACCTTTAGAACTTCAGAGACTCTTTACTTGATTGTAACTTGCGTCTTTTTATCAAACTTTAGATCGAAATCGGGGCAGTGACGAGTGTTTTATTTGTACCCCCATGGCTCCATTATGTATATTATGATCAGCAGATATTCATATCTGGGCAACCAATCACACTTTCCGCGCCAAAAAATAGTAATAAGGGTAGACCATTACCATTCAATTTGCGTATCATGGATGTACTATCCATCCTATTCTCTTCATTTCTAGCCTGATATTCACTTGTCTACAACATAATTGTTAGTCGATGCCTCAGGCATGATTAAACACAGCCGCCCGACGCACGCATCGAAGTGTGAGCTGTCACCAGTGTCCGGAATGTCGGCGCTCTATGCCTTGGTTACTTCGTAGCTCGAGCACCGGGTTGCTAATCGAGGTGACAGGGATGTACACCGCCGCTCTCTGTACCCAAGAACTCAAGTGACTCATTCACTTCTTGTCTTTAAAACTGAACACGCCCTTTACCTATCGCAGATCCCGGTCCGTGTCGAGTGATCTATTACCCCATCTTTCCATCCATTCACCTCGTTTGGGTCAACTGATGTTCCCAAATATCTATATGGCCAGCACCCCATTTCCTCCCCTAAGGAATCATGAAGTCTCTTAGATTTTATTTCGCGCATCTTGCGATGGTAAGGGATGCGAGAGCTGTCGCAAAGAAGGCCGCAGGGAGGTTGAAAACTCGGGGTTTGGTTTGCCAACGCTTCAGCAGTTCGATAGTCACCTCACATGGGAAAAGCCCCCAACGCCATTCACCAGTTTCTTCAGCACCTGGGCAAGAGCAATGGGATGGCGGGGATGGTTAGAGAGAGAGGGTCATACCGAAATTAAAGTGGTTGCTCTCTGGAGTAAAGACATGAACAACGTCTACGAGGCGAAGCGAGTCGTTTTGCATTTGCGATACAAGACGACCGGCTTGTTTGTCGACGAAAGCCTCGACATTATGAGAATGAATACTTCATTCACGGTGGTGTGCGTGATGAATATCGAATCCTGGCTATATTTCGAGGCGGGGATCAGCTTGTGAAATCAATCAGCGATTGGAATTTTCCAATGCATACAATGCGGATAGATTACGAAAAGTTCGGATTTCCTACGTAGCTTGAGACTTTATATTATTGATGACTTGCTCTTATCTGAGTTTGTGAAGGTGCCTGTAACTCGTGTTGTGCTTGATCTGAGCGGTGGGATTCGAATATCACATAGCCTTGCTAGCCTAGCTAACGGTGAAATGAGGGTGAAATGAGGGTGATACGACCATATACCAAATATGAAACATTGAAATTAACACTTATCTATTCGACAATGACATAGCACAACCGAAAAATTCACAAACAGAATATAATTACACCATTAACCTCTTTTCCTCCTTCACTCTTCATTCAAAATATTAACACAAAACCGATGCCCCCAGTTGGCTCAACTGACAATCCATACACAACAATATTCTCAGCTCCTCATACCAGTCGAAGGGAATCCCAACCCTAAATTGAGGATGCATCGAAAGCCCCACTCAACACGCTACCTAGTGGAAAGCATCCACCGATCCACCAGAGCTAGCGCTGGCGTCCGACACCGGGGTAGACTAGCCGAGTATCTCAAAGCGGCGAGACGGTAGCGTGCGGCAACCCGCTGGGTGTGGTGGGTGTCTTGGATGGAGTAATGTGTAGTACTGGGGTGGGCGAGACAGGTGTCGGTGAGGGGAATCCAGTCGGTGTGGCTTGTCTCCTCACTAGGGTGGGGATGGGCGTGCTGGATGGGCCTGGGATCTGACTGGATGGGCCTGGGATTTGAATGGATGGGCCTGGGATTTGAATAGATGGGCTTGGGATTTGAATGGATGGAATCCCTTGACTGCTTGCTGCAATGGGGCTATCGGAGTGGCCAAAGGGGGGATGAGCTGCGGCGTTGCTGCTCAGAGCTGTCAAGGTGGACAGGGTGAGGAGGATGCTGAAGTGCATTTTGGTTGGTTTGTATGGAGTGATGCTTCGTGAGGTTTGAATTATGGAAAGGATGATGTGAAGTGAGGGTTTGGAGTTCGGTTGATGGAGAATTCATGCTGGGGGTGTATGGGATAGGATATAAATATGAATAGGGGAGAGAGAGAGGGAGAGTAAGGAGGCAACCGGGTTTGTATAGATCACATCGCTATATGATGGAAGCGGGAACTAGATGAAGATCATTAAAGATCAGCCTCAGCTCTGAGATGTCAAGCCATTAAGAGGCTGTGATAGGTTATATCTTTTGTTTTCGTGTGATGGGATTCGTATAGTTCGATATTGGTTATGCAGGAACAAGCATGGATTGAAGATCATTGCTGATTTAAGTATGTAATTTTCTTATGGCCCCTTGAGTTACTGCATATTTAAGCGCAGGGAACAAGCATGTTGTATGTATAGCAAATTGGGTGCGTTTCAGGATGTGACTAATGTTAGTCTTTAGCACTTGAGATAGGCGCTGTACCCCTGAGGCATTTACGATATATGCAGCCATAAAAGTCAAAGGGTATATATTAAACAGTTGATTTCACAAATTACGCCTTTTTTAACCTTTTTCTTCGGCAAATCTATGAAACTCAAAAAAGAGACCATCAAAAGAGACGTCAAAGACATCAGCATAAGCGGCTGAATATGCCTGTGTATGACACATCTTGAAATATATAATTATACTCTCCAGTACTCTACTCAGTACAGTACTCCGTACGGAGAACTCCGTAGAGCACAAGATATTACCCCTGGAAGCCCGGAAGAGCCAAGAGAAAATCCCCCCCACTTCCCGATAAGAGTCACACTTCGTACAACTTCCTTCTCCCCAAAACACCCCTACGGAGTACTTTGTACAAGATAAAAAATGGATCCCAAAGTCGGAGTCGGCGTCTTCGTTTTCAATGCTGCAGGCAAATTCATCATCGGCAAGCGAAAGGGAAGCATTGGCGCGGGTACGTCCAATATCCCAACACCCCCACATATGCAACAAACAAACAATTATAAGGGATTATGAGCAAAGCTTACGGGTTGTAATCAAAGGCACATGGGGATTACCAGGTGGACACCTCGAGTTCGGGGAATCCTTTGAGACCTGTGCGGCCCGTGAGACCCTCGAAGAAACAGGTCTAAAGATCGAGGATATGCGATTCTTGACTGCCACGAATTCAATTATGAAAGCAGAGAATAAGCACTACATTACCATTTTCATCGGTGGCGTCTGCGAGGAGGGTGTGGATCCTCAGGTATGATTGATATTTGCTTTTTTTTTCCCGTGGCATTTTTCATTGCATATGCCATACCGTGGCTGTCTACCCTGCAGGAACGGAAACGGGATACATAGCTTACTTGTTGATAGGTAATTGAACCGGAGAAGTGCGATGGGTGGGAATGGATTTCGTGGGATGAGTTGCGGGTGTACGGAGAGGAGGAGATGAAGGCCGGTGATGGGTTTGAAGGGAGAAGGTTGTTTTTGCCTCTTTTGGAATTGTTCAGACAGCGTCCCGATTTTCGGGTTTGAATTTCCTATACGAAGTAGAATTATATATCCATTAAAGAAGCTAACAAATGCTCTGTATTAAATCTGACTCTCCAATTATCTCCTAAGAAATCAGATAATATACGACATAATTCATCTTCTTTCACCCCTGATCATTTTCAATGAACACAGCTTTGAAGCTTATGTCCGACATCTCCTTGGCGGAAATATCAAGTTAAGGAACACGGGAACCATGATTTTCATCAGCTGCTCGCTTAATACCCACTCGGAGGACAATCCTCGACAGGTATGATCGCATTGCCTCCTGTAGCCAAAGTGGAAAGGCTCTGAGTGACCCAATCACCGAGGAATGTCTAGGCACGATGGTCTGACCACTTTTCTGAGTAATAATGTGGTCCACCACTACCCGAGAGACGTCCCTTGCATCCAGGAGTGGCTGACGGAAATCAGCTTGATATTTAGTGAAGCCATCGATCATGGGAGTCTGAACTAGACTGCGACATCGCCCATGGACGGGCGGGTGGGCAGTGCCCACGGGCCTTATGTAAGCGGGCGATGGGCACTATCAATACGCCCATGGACGGGCCCTACCCTTAGGGCCCATTGTCCATGGACACCGTGGGCGCCCGTGGGCCTTTTTAGTAAGCAAAATTAGCGCAACACGTGATTTTAATTGACAGATTTCAAAATATTTCAACTAAATTTATATTTTTTATATATTTACAATCATAATTCCGGATTTTTAATAAGATATATATAAATATATATACTATAATTTACTATATATCTAATTTTTATATATATTTAAGACAACTTTATATAATGGTGGGCATCGTGGGCATGCCCGCCGTGGGCATGCCCGTGGGCCTTGGGCGTTATGGACGGGCACTCGAAAATCCAAATAGCCCAAGGCCCACCGTGGACGGGCGATGGGCACCTCCTAGGTGCCCATGGACGGGCGATGTCGCAGTCTAGTCTGAACCCACATAGGGTGAATGGTACTAGGTATTGTCAGCATGAGTTCCTTTTGAAGCAAGGTTTTCCCCTACTAACCTCGTTCGCACATTCGGAGCCTTGTACCAATATTTCAACTCTTGCCGAAGGCCTTCCTGAAAAGCAAGAGCGCTAGCTTTGGAACAAGCATAGTCCACCATATCGCCTAGAGTAACAAAGCTCGCGATACTCGCTATTGTAAGGACATGGCCATGGTTCATACGGATCATGAACGGAAGGAATTCTTTCATTATGAGGAAATGAGAGATGATGTTGACTTCGAATGTCTGACGCAATTTCTCTACTGGCTTTTCGAGAATGGTTCCGTGGTGGAAAACAGCAGCGTTGTTCACGATAACAGTCGGATCTCCGTGTGACTTTCTAATAGCAGCGCCCGTTTCGGAAAGAGATTCGGCCGATGTTATATCTGTTTGATAGAATGTGACGTTTTCTGGAAGCTCAAAGGTAGGCTGGTTGATATCGAGAATCACAACGCGTACTTTCTTGCGAGAAAGATCTTCCATTATTTGTCTGCCGATGCCACCACTGCCGCCGGTCAACAGGACTAGCTCATTTTCTGGGATCCATGTCTTGCTGGCTTGGAAGTTGTTTATGACTCTCTCTGAGAGCTTTGTTTGAAGGTAGTAAAGGACTAAAGAGCCGATCAAAACACTCAGCAAAGACGTGATGATTGGGGCATTCAGGATGTTGAACATGGTGTCAATTAAGAGTTCCGATACTCAGGCAAAGTATGAGTAGTCCTCGAGCGAATGTGGTCCACAGGGGAAAGGAATAAGAGCCAAGGGCAATTTCCTCCTACCTGATGTGCTGGCCTGTTTGTGTTGGGGGGTTCTTTTGTCCTTGTCAGAATCAGTTGTCATATTTCTGCAGAGAGTGTTGCGTTGTACAGACTTTTGTCCCGGCCCCGGGTGTGGCTAGGCCCTGGGACCTTTTCAGCCGACCAACTCGAGTAAGACATTAACACTCGGTCGGGGATATCGGAATTATTATCGACTGTTCGAGGCACAAGCTGAACAGGGCCTAACGCATTGATAATGAAGACCCAATGCACCATGGATCCAAAGAGGGAAAAACTCATATATGCCAAGCTATGAACAAAGAAGAATGGCGGAGAACAAAAGACCTCAGACCTCGGAACTATCTCTACGCACTCAGCTTAACAGGTGACCTATTCAAGTGAAAACAACTGAATTCTTTGTCTTGAAGGCTTGGTCATGAGCCTATTATAACCCCCTCCCCCCCCACAGGGCTAGGTTCATGAAGGAGGATTCACACTTTTATAGCATTTAGCACGTATGGGTGTGCACAAAGCAATGGAATGTGTCCCAAAGGGTTAAAATGAAGTTGATAGAGGTGATGATGTTCTCAGATACCCGCCAAGCCTGAGACAAGAACCGGAAACACCTTGGCATTTGCTTGAGTTGCTTGATTTGCTTTGAGTTATGCTAAAAAAAAAAAAAAAGAAGAGGTGAAGAACAAGGAAGTTAATCAACTCGAACCAAAAACCCAGTCGGATACAATAACAGCAATAGTCGCAACCTATACAAATGTCAGTCAATCAATACACATCAAACACTCTCGACTCGAATACTCACCAACGAAATATCCACGCCGGGCATTACAATGACATCCATAGCAGGCCGATACCCCTGCCTAGAACCTCTCATCAAAGCCAATTTCTCATTATGGTGAATACTCTCCCGGACTTCAGCAACCTTCCTATCCCCATCAACAATATCAAAAAGCGCCAGCGCATTCCCATGTCGTTCAATATTCAAAGTAAGCATTTTCTCATCGCCACGCTTCCCCTCAAAAGCAGCCGCATTCTCAAACGAAAGATCAAAGTTCCCAAACGAAGTATTCCCCAGCGTCCATCGTGGAGCACCAGTAGCTATCGTCGCAGTATCACACCCAGGCAAGCTAACCGACCAACTATTCGTCCACGACCATTTCCGATGTAGCTCGAACAGCGGCAGCCCGGAATCATCACGGAACTCCCGACACGAGCGATCGCTGTATTTGCGACCGGTCACCGTAAACTGAGGTGTTCCATCCTCTGCGGTGATCTTGTATGCGACAGCGGAGTGGGGACTACCGAATGGTCTGAGCACGAGGGTTGTCTTTGCGCGCGCTATGTACTGGTTGCGGAAGGCGATTTCGCGGTCTGGTGATCGGAGGGTTTTGCGGGGCTTGGAGGTGTATGAATGTGATAGTCTGGCGTTGGAGTAAAAGGTGTAGGACATGGTTGTTGGTGTAGCCGCGTCTATTCAACGCACTGGGATTATGTGGGGTGACTCTTTATATCTCCAGGGCTGGGTTGCATGGGTATGTATCTCTCTACTTATCCTTGTTGCGGCATTTATCTCGGCCAATACCCGATGATCTCACTGCTTGCTGAGCCACATCATGCCAAGGAATGTACATGAAGCTATTCCCCTTGAGACATCAGCGGGGTAAGTGATGTGATAACTTGTGGCTGCATTCTGTCTTGAATGGTGCATTTTGATTGATAGCATCGGTTTAGCCACCTCTCATACCCCTCTCGAAAGTTAATCTCCCAATATTTCGACCAATATGTAGAGTACTATACTCCGTAGTTTGATCCACTTGGGAAAAAGTAACTAAACTACTTTGTATACAAAAAATAACCTCGGGTGTAATATTTGATGAGTCAGAAATCCACGGATTCCGCGGGGCCCCTAAGGCATCCTGAAATTATGTTCTAGGCAACCATCGTGTAATATCATCACATCTCCATACTCTCCTGGTTACACAATTATGGCTGGGAAATTCGCAGTCAAATCTCTGGACCATCTGGTCCTAACAGTCCGCAACATCCCCAAAACCGTGGCATTCTATACAACCTATCTCGGAATGCGGCACGAGATCTTTACCTCTCCAGCGAACCAATCCATTCAGAGGTAACCCCTCTTTTTTTACAACCTAGTGGATGGTGAAAAGATATTGACGATAATAGACATGCCCTTATCTTTGGCTCTCAGAAAATAAATCTCCACCAATCAGGCAAGGAATTCGAACCTAAAGCCCAGGATGTTATGCCAGGAAGTGCCGATTTGTGCTTTTTGACAGACGAGAAGGTGGAAAAGGTCTTGGAGGTATTCCAGGATGCCAGAATGGAAGTACGAACACCCCCGTTTCTCTCTCGAAAATGGCACAGACAGAGGCTAACCTCTACAGGTTCTGGAAGGCGCCAAGGTTGTAGAAAGAACTGGGGCCGTTGGGAAGATTCGCAGTGTATACGTGAGAGATCCTGATGGAAATCTTATCGAGTGAGCCTTCTTCCGTTTCTCTTGGATCATCAAGTCGACTAACCTCAGCTACAGAGTGTCCAACTATGTTTGAGGAACCTGTCGGGGACCTATAGTCACAGACACTTTCTTTCTCTCTTGATAGGCCACGTAACATCCCAACACTAATCATAGATAGTTGATGGGATGTGTTCGGATATCAATCAAATCTCCCAAGTCCCAGCTCTCATCGATGCCGTGGATCGGTTATTCAAAGTGTGTTTCTTTACCCTTCATAGCTCGGACGGTCAACATGATGCCGCGATAAGCTGTAAGTGTACCCGAGTGAAGATTGAGTAATCCTCGGAGAGACAGGGTACAGTTTTCACAAACAAAAGATTGTCAGAGCATCTTAGGATTGATGTAAGTAACTCGATCAGACCTTAGCCCTCATTTTTGGTCCTGTTTCCGCCAAACGCGCAGCCACCAGAACCAAGGCGCCCAGCAAAAAGGATGCTCCGCCCCACATCTGTGCTCCAATGTAGCTGTCGGCTCTAGCAATAAGAGCTCCACCGAGAGGTGGGCCTGTCAGACAGGCGAAACTCACAATCGTAAAGCCCATGCCGATGCGGGCTCCGGTTTTGCGTAGGTCGGGGGTAAGACTGGAAAGTGTCGATGGCCAGAGGCCCTGCACACCATTGGAGAATATACCGTAGAGCACGGCAAAGACGTACAGGCCTGCAACCGAATGGACGGCAGCCCAGCAAAACATCATCACACTAGCAGCCAGCGTCAGGGGAATGATGGTGTTGAGTGGTCCATACTTGAGATCGGCGAAATAGGCAGGGATAAGGCGACCGAGGATTCCTGCTCCATTGGTTACAATGATCAAATTGCTCGATTCCGAGTAGGTCATGCCGAGAATATTGCGAGCAAATGCACCAATGTAATAGAAAGCGAAATATAAAGCCCAGAAATTCAGAAACATGCCCAGACAGAAAAGCACGTAGGTGGGTTCCTTGAACGCCTTCCATTCGATGAAGGCGCCAGCCTTGCGCGGTGGTAGTCGAGGCTGCAACAGGAGAACAGCAGGGATGCTCGTAGCGATCATGACAAACCCCAACACCCTAACTGTCCAACCGAATCCGATCGAGTTTAAAAGAGCTTTCACCAAGCCGGGCAGAAGCATGCCTCCGGTTCCACTCCCAACCAGACAAAACGCCAGGGCAAACACCCTATTATCAGAGAAGTAGGTAGCCACCAGTCCCATCACGGGGCAGAACTGTAGGCCACTGCCAAGGCCTGTACAGACACCCTGCGCGACAAATAGCTGCCAATAGTTTTTCGAGAGTGAGGTCATGAAGACCCTGAGGAGCTGCAGAAAGACTCCACCATAAAAGGCTGTGTGGAAGAAGCCTGCGTCTAGGGCGCGACCGGAGAATGTCCCGACAAAGAAAATAAGGAAAACCTGTACAGATCCGACCCATGAAATAGCCGATGCTGAAACGCCAAGTTCGGCTTCGTAGTATTCCTGGAATACGCCGAAGGTGACAATATACCCCCAGGTGTTGAACACCACCAGATGGCCCATCATGGCTTGTGTCCATGCCTTTACTCCTCCATCGGGGGGTGGTCCAATGTGGGAAGATTGTTGGTCGTACGAAGACTCGGGATCTTCATCGTTCTATGTCATGGTGGTGTGGGGTGCAATGCAATACGAATCGTCGAATGTGGGGAAGTGGTTGAGTTAGGATGACCGAGAAGGACTCTTTGTGTGCCAATTGTACCCTGTACTTTGACCGAGAAAATACAAAATGAGTCAAACTATCGGGGTTAAGAAGCAAGTGTGACAACCCCTGTCACCCGCTACACCCGCTATATTCACGGGGGCTCTTGTTTTGAATTGGCGCACTAGCGCTTGACGTGATACATATATCGTCTTAGGATAGATGTAGGGTTCATATTATTCTACACATTCGGGCCACTGCGGAGGTCCATTTTACATACCAAGCAACGGCAGATCGACAGGCTCCATTATTTTCCTAATCCGGATGTCTATGACTGTTTATGGCTGTCTATGGTACTTTTGTTTCCTTTCGACTCCATTTCTTGGTTCTCGGCCTTGCATGTGGGTATCTTCCTGTTTGTTGTGACGAATTGGGATTTGACATAGTATAATGACATTGAAGTTCAATTCGGAGATATCAGCTTGGCGACTTTGTAGTTAAAACCGAGAACAGTATTAGCAGTAAGATCACGCTCCAACACCTCGTAGCCATATAGAAGTGGATGAAGGATACTACCCTTCTAAATGAGATATAATTGTTGTTGGTAGGTGCCCGCATCTATAAAAAAGCCCTTGTAGATGGGCATCAACACAGAATTAGAACACCCGAAGTCATCAACTCAGTTATTATTGATCACTTTCAGTAAATTTTCAGCCACCAAAAGAAGGATCTAAGGTCTTTCAAATCTACCTTCTAGGACTATATGTAGGATAATATAGATATCTGTTCACTATAAAAAGATACTAGGTGCTTGGTAGAATTATAGAACCACCGAATTACGAAACTCCACCTTTTCACCTGACCAATCAACTAATATCAAGCATTCTCCATAAAAGATTGATGTCTGTTACTCCTTACTGGGTCACTTTTTAGAATCTTTATCTGCATATCAATGACGACATCGTGGAGCATCCCTGGACTGAAAACAAGCAAAACAGGATAGGGCCGGCCCTCTCTGCCCTCTCGCGTAAACAGATGACACGTATAAAGCAAAAGAAAAAACGGTCAACCATGAACCAAACAACCTTCTAGGGAATAGTGCAAATCTTGCCAAATCACAGGAAATGTTTTGGATTTGCCCAATCCGTCCACGAGGGTATCATCTCTCTTGGTATAGGGCGGCTTCTTGAAACATCAAATCTCGACAATATGAAAATATCCTAGTAGGATATTTGCTCACTTATACACAGCTTGGGGAATTCAATTGGTACTATATATCAATATCAATATCCCCCTCTATCTTCAGGAATAATTATTCCATGATACTTCCCGTTCCCGGGCGGGATTAGCTCAGGTATGCGATGCACTTCCATTCTATGACTTAAATACTTCTTTTTTTTTTCCTTTTCAATGGCACGCGATGATGATATTTTATCCGTTACTTACCTTTTATGGTGAAATTGATACCTTATATGTTTCAAGACGGGTCTCTGAGTCTGCCAAATCTTACCTTGTGTTTTGCAATCTGTGTCTCATGTGTCCATGCTAACTCAAGTGAATTCTCTAGGTATATTGTTGGAAATGGGTTTGATTCTTTAAATATCCTTGTAATGTTTGTGATATTCAAAGAATACTAATTAACCAACTGGTTAGTTATGGTGCAGGGGTACATGTTTCCGATTTCTTTGAAGCATAATGATACTCCGGGCCCAGCTCTATATTTGTTAGATAGCTGCTGAATAGCTTGAATTATAAATCATTTGTTGAATTTGTACATTTCTATTTCTTCCTGCTACTCTGTAGATTTGACAAAGTACAAAGTAATCAATTTGTTAATCTCACCAATTGCTGATTAACGTATTCGGTAAGCGAGTGGGCCATGGAAGCCAGTGGGCCACCCCGAAACACCATACTAAAGGCGTTTTATAGATACTTGATATCTCGACGGCCACAAAATGTATTATATTCTTATGACATTATGGTCTTAAAATAAAGATCCTAATACATTCATAAAGTTTTAGAAATTCTAAATAAGTACGAATTGAGTTATATGTTTTTTTTTATAAAATGATCAAAAATACGTTGTATTTTTGGTAAAATCAATGAATAATCATTTGAATCTCCCAAAAAGTTCGGAATATAGCTAGTAATCTAGTTACCAACGTTCTCTATAAGCTTTAAGTAGTATCAATGCGTTGTTGTTGAGATATAAAATCGCCTTTAGTATGGTGTTTCGGGGTGGCCCACTGGCTTACATGGCCCACTCGCTTACCGAATACGTTAACCCAACTGCTGATGAACGATTAGCTAATTCCGTAAATCCGGTAAATCCGTCTCACGATGGTCGGCCAAAATTGCCCCTGACTTCCCGCTGACGGGATATCTATGGATAAGCCACCGGATTAGCAAGTGAAACATAAGCAAGAGACTACGGAATACTTGTCTATATAAACAATAATCCCGCACACCAAAGGCCACCTATAAATAATCAACCCAAGCCATCAAGATGACAGCCCGCCTCATTCAATCTCCCCTAAACGCCATAACCCGCGCAGCACTGTCCAAAACCAGTCCAACACGTCTGGTATCCACTCGCCAAACCCATCTATATCGTACCCAATCTCACCAAACAACACCCCGCTCATTCTCCTCGTCAACCCGCAAACCAGCCCCGGCCCCAGCAGCAAACATGTCCAGCGCCCTAATCGATCTAGCCAAGAACAGGCGCACGATCTACCAGCTCGGCAAGAAAAGCCCAGTTCCAGACTCCAAGATCGAAGAGCTTGTCAATGCCGCCATCTTGAATGTCCCCAGTGCGTTCAATACCCAGTCTACACGGTTAATCGTGCTCCTGCACGATCAGCACGATAGACTGTGGGATATCGCCATCGAGGCCTTTGAGGGTCTTGTTAAGGCTGGGAAGATCCCACAGGAGGTTTGGGAGAAGCAGACGTTGCCTAAGTTGCTTGGTTTTAAGGGAGCGTATGGAACGGTACGTACTTTGCTTTTTCCTCCAGAGCTTTTAATTTGGACTTTCTCTCTTGAAACTCAAAGTATTCAGTCCTGTCCATAACTAATCAATACCCAGATCCTCTTCTACGAAGACCCGGCACACATCAAACCCATGCAGGAGAAGTTCGCTACCTACAAGGATAATTTCCAACCGTGGGCGGATCACACCAATGCCATGCACCAGTATTTCCGTATGTTCTTTCTTTTCCTTTTCTTCGTCTGTCACTTGTTTCCTTCATTCTAACCGTTACTAGTCTGGACTGGCCTTGAAGCGCTCGGCTTCGGCGCAAACTTGCAGCACTATAGCCCACTTATTGACGCTGGTGTTGCGAAACAGTGGGATCTGCCGAGTGAGTGGCGGAATGTTGCTCAGCTAGTCTTTGGAAGCCCCGAGGGTGCTGCTGGGGAGAAGGCGCAGAAACCTGTTGAGGAGAGGGTTAAGATTTTTGGGAAGTTGTAGGTCTGATATAGATATATATAGATGAGGGAGGAATTAAAGTATACATTTGTATAGATTAAATTAGGGAAGCTCACTTGCAAATAAGCTATAGGTATTGATCCATGTCTTGAATGGTTGCTGGGGACAATACAATGCGAATTTGAGGAGTTCTATTAATTGATCAGTTGACACTTTCAATTTTATTTTTGCTCTGTCAAAAGGAAGCCATAAAAGATTCAAAAAGCATCAACTTAAAAATGTTGCTGTTGAGATCACTTGACCCTGTTTGACAGGACTGGCAGCTACAAATAGCTTTCTCTCCCTCTTCTTCTTCTTTTCCCCTACACATGCCACCGAAGAGGCTAGTCAAGGCCTGTCTCGTCATCGTGCCCTCTATAGACTTTCTGGGTGAATTCAACTCCTCCATAGGAAATTGCCTTGCACCTGGAACACGAAACTTACATGACCTCTCGCGCGATCCTGTACGACAAAAGGCAATACAAACCCGGCGGACGTGCAGACTACACCTTGTGGTACGGAGAAACCCGTTCGATGTCAGAAAAGGCAATTAACCTGCATTCGAGCCACACTAATGTAGACATCCTTTGATCAAGTTAGATGATGTACTCCAGACATGAAAGCAAAGATAGTGAAAGCCACTTACCCATGTACCCAAGTGCATGAGACACTTCAATCAAAGGGGGAAATGGAAGTAGTGTTGTGCTGCCGAGAAAAGAGAAAGGAAGTTGTCGAACGTGATGGATGGGAAGTGGGAAGTGACTAGAAAGGCACGTTGGAAGGAGCGGCTTAGGCTCTTTATATATTCCAACTTTGGAAGGCAGTCACGTCAGATGACCAGGGCTAATTATATTTGGTTACCTTAGAGATCTTATATCTTATATAAATTTGATATATGGTAGAAAATCTACTTTTGGAGTTACTAGCTTAGTTATAATCTCCCATTTTCATGGGTCTCAGATCTATCCACGCTGGAAAATCAGGTAGTTCATTTAGATCTGTGCCTGAATAAGGCTAAGTGGTAATCCTTTGTCCAAGCGACAAAGAATCAATACAGCTGATCTTTCCCTCTTAATACGGAGCATGGTATAACTTAACAGACGATGATATTCCAATATTGCAATACTATACACCGTAATAGTGTTCTGTATAGCCGGAAGGACAAAGGTATGATTGCTTCGGAACAGGTGGCTGAATACTTTCTATCGTATGAATTGCACATTGGGTAGTTGAATCAGGAGAGGAAGAACAGCGAGAGCCAACCCTGCTACTTCAATGCCGCTTGCCATAACTGTAGATATTGCGCGGAATTGAGATAGAGCGAATCCACACGCCTCAGATAAAACGTTCTATAGCCAAAGACAGTGGTTTATTAGAGTTGTCGTTGATGCTCACCGTTTAACCCCGCGCTTACTCCCATCTGGGCACGTGAGTGCGTAAGTACATGTACCTATCTAAGCAACTGAACAACTCAAGGTACTCCATGGATGCCAGAAAACACATTATTATATAGAACCTAAGCCACAAAGCGTGCCTCCAAGTCATAACAAGTTCACGTCCTAATCACCCTGGCAATGCAGTTCACATTCTAGGGAAGCAGACGAGCATCGCCCTAAAGAACACTGCAAGAGGGGGAATATTGAACTTGGGTGCAGGAAACGAAGGCTTACTGCTGTTATTTCAAGTCCAAGCTTGATAATTATCACAGCCCCGAAGTAATGGGTCAGCAATATTCTCTGGGGGACAACGCGGGCTCACAGGACCCGTCGCATTCCCACCCCCCATTCTCTGAATCGGACTCCGAGGGATCTATACGTCCGATTCACGGCTCAATTGACTCCGAAATTCCTAGCGCGTTGGACAGCCCCCATGTGTCTATCAACCTCTCCGATAAAACGGCGTTCAAATTGATGGAAGCATCTCTTTCCAAATTCAACAAACTCATCACGTCTGACTCGCTTGCGGAACACGAAGATGAATTTCCACTAGAATCATGGAGGGATGAGCTGTCTCGGTTCCACGTATGGGTTAGGACTGTTGGAGACCATCAAGATGGTAAAGGGTCTGTAATCTACCGCCTCACATGCGAGCCGCATCTCTATAGCCAGAGTGTGAGACTCCTAGAGAGCTTTCAGGAGTTGCTTATCGACCTCGGAGATGCCTTATCTGGGGATAATTCAAGCTATGAATCCCAGTACGAAGAAGGGAGAGACAATATCAATGAATTTACAGGGATCCAGCATATCCACCAAACAATGAAGGAGACACTAAGTTATCTCAATCGGGTTTCTGCAATGATCCCCAAAACAGCAAGACCCACTGTTCTCAATGATAATCAGACCATCAGATCAGACGTTGGCCCAGTCAAGTCCGTGGGAACTCAACTGATCTCAAATGCTGGCAATTCCCAGTCCCTGTGGTCCAGCACGTCCTCACCCCGAGGCACCCCTAGCCCTCCACTATCGTCATTCATTCCGAGCAGTCTATATCAAGATCTAAAGGTTGTGGATTCAACGGAAAGGTGTGGCGAGGTAAACTGCGTGGCGGAAGGCCCCCTTAGTAGCGCGCCGCCTGCTGGAATTTCTCAGGTTGCAGGCGAATCCATCTTGATCATCAAGGAAAAGCAATCAATCTCAGCCAATAACCCAATGGGCAACCCAGGAGCTTCCAGTACGACAATGTATAATCTAAAGTCCATCGATCTAGACGACATCATCTCGCGGCTCCTAGATACAGGACATTCGACCAGATTCCACCGGACGGTGTGTCTTAACAATTTCGAGATCACCACAATCTGTGTACTAGCTCGTGAACTCCTCCTTTCTGAGCCCACTCTCTTAGAGTTGGCCGCCCCCATTAGGGTCGTTGGCGATATCTACGGTCAATATGCTGATCTAATCCGAATCTTCCAAACATCCGGATTTCCGCCGGAATCGAACTATCTTTTCCTCGGTAACTATGTAGACCTGGGTAGGTTGAGCCTAGAATCCATCCTCCTACTCCTATGCTATAAAATCAAACACCCGCAGAATGTCTACCTGCTTCGTGGCAATCTCGAGTGTGGAAGCGTTTGCAGAGTGTCTAGCTTCTATGATGAGTGCAAGCGGCGTCACAATAAGAAGATCTGGAAGAATCTCATTGACACTTTTGACTGCCTTCCTATCGCGGCGATAGTATCCGGCAAGATCTTCTGCGTTCACGGCGGGCTATCTCCTGATCTATTAAATATGGACGATATTCGCGATATCCCTCGCCCTACTGATATACCCGACTCTGGGCTGCTGACCGATCTTCTATGGAGTGACCCGGCAAGTGGTGGTATGGAGGAAGACTGGAAGCCTAATGACCGCGGTGTGAGCTACTGTTTCAGTGAAAAGGTCATCGAAAGCTTTCTGGGCCGATATGGCTTTGATTTGGTGTGCCGGTCTCACATGGTGGTCAAGGATGGGGTTGAGTTCTATCAGGGCCAGACCCTAGTGACCATCTTCTCAGCTCCGAATGTAAGTTGCGTTGGCTTTCCTAGCCTTTCGATAGATTGCTAATCCTCCCCAGTATTGCGGCGAGTTCAACAACATGGGCGCTACCATGTTCATTTCAGAGGACCGTATCTGTAGGTTTGAGTTGATGGAGCCCCTAGAGTCGACTGCATTAAAAAATCACAAGAAGGGTCGAATAAAGTGAGATAACAAGCCAAACAAATATTTAAGTTGGTGGTCCCTTGCGTGTTATTTCTGTGCAATGATTTTTGGGAGTCAGTTACTGACGAATGATATAGAGACTGACGAGTCTTACCTAGCCCAATCACATTAAGACAAATGCGGGATTCAATTTGTTGACACGGATGGATATCAAGATGCGTTGCTTTCCAGGCTTCCATGGGCTATTCAGTTATTCTTCTTTTTTTGATTGTATAAGATGGAGGTGTATTTGCAGATAATATAGATTCCTTGCCCACAGTTCAATCCTATCATCGAGGGTTCGAGGGTTGTTGAGGATAGATCCGCACCGGTCCATAGATGATAGAAGGGATGTTATATTCAACATTCTCGTAAAATGTCTTTTTGGATATATTTTGAGAGACCTTTTGAGAGGTCTTTCTAGATGTCTTCTCAGGTACATTCTACGTGCCCTTTCTGGGCTTCCTTCTATAGATGTCATTGCTAGAAGGTGTTTGAAATAATTCAGCGCAAATTATGGAATATGTATGAAAAATGCGAGATGCATATCCCTTTTGTATCTCATACATCAAATGCTACCTCTTTTCAAATTGTGTTAATGACTCAATAGGTCCTGTTGTATATTCGTTACAGGGGTGTACACAGTTCGTATATGAAAATAGGTGATCCATCTTGATTACCTAGAGTTATATTGGCCAGACACTCACGTCTGCAGAAAGTCTTCATCAAGAATAACATATAGGTTCAATGAAACCTAAGAGTTCTATACACAGACATACCTTAGCCCAAGTACAAAGACCAACAACAACAATGACTCGGAACGACCAGGAAATAAAAGCATGGCTCCCACCAACGCCAACCATCTACCTGCCAGTACGATACCAAAACTTAGACGGATCATCAAGACACTCGCCAACAGTAACAGCTGTAAGAGAAATCCGTTAGCCATATCTCATAACCACCGACAGACACAAAAGAAACACAAAGAAAAACAAAGAAAAACATACCACGCAGCCCCCTCCTCTCAACTTCCGCAAGCATATTATCTACCAAAATCTCAACCGTGTGCTGATGCGCATCATGCGCCAACACAATCGTTCCACCAGCATCGACTTCCCTCTTGAACTTCTCAAAACTAACCCAATTCGTATCGGGATTGTCATTCTCGTAGTCCTTAGTATCAACACTAGCCCCAATAACATGGTATCCCAGATCAGCCATGGCGCTGAGGACGACGGGCGTATGTCTGAGGAACGGAGGGCGCATGTAGGTTGGGAAGAAGCCTAGAATGCGCATGAAGGCTTCTTCGAGGGTTGTCATTTGTTGTACGATTTCTTCATATGGAAGGGTGTCAAGGGAGGGGTGGTTCCATCTGTATAGCTGTTCGGTTAGTGTATGTTGATGCTTGGACTGGACTTGACTTGATTGTGGAAGGAAGCGAGGATAAGTCATTAGGTGGTATGAACGAACGTATGAGACCCCAGCTGATGTTTTTCTGCTAACGTGCGCTGCACTACCTCAGGGGAGGTATCGATATGACCTCTGTTATGGCCGTTGAGGAAGAAAGTTGCTCTAACGCCGTGTTGGGCGAGTGTATCTAGTATCTGGGGTGTGTAGATGTACGGGCCATCGTCGAAAGTGAGAGCGATTGTGCCTGGGATGACACAGTGGGTGATTACGGCCCCAAAAGGTAATTTGGAGGCGTTGGGATGGAGGGCATTGGTGGCTGTGTTGGTGTTGGTACTGTTTCCTGTGGGAGCGGCTTCGGATAGGGTTATAGCCGAAAGCAGAAATAGAAATAGGGGAGCGAGGAAATGCATTTCGATGAATGAATGAACCGGGTTGGATTATATAAGGATAGTTAGAATGCCTGCTGATGTTGGATTGAAGTGATGGGGCGAGGTTAAGATGTTGGCTAGGTGCTAGGTGTGAAGCAAGCAGGGATCTCTCTACTTCGCTGCTTCCTGGGATTCGAATTAGACATAGACGGCAATGATCTGAACATAAAATCTGCATTGAATATAACTGAACGTTTAGATTGCATCCCCAGTGTCATGGTAAATATTATACCTTCCACAAATAAATATGAATACATCAAATTAAAAAGGTATCAAAAGGGCAGGATAAAACATTCAACCCGCACCTTTCCCACAGAAAGGAGCGAGAAGACAGAATAAAAATCCTCCAAAACAACGACACCCCGTCTAACCCTTCCGGGTACTCTTCTTCGCCTGGCGTCTTTGTCCCTTCTGAGCCTCACGGTCAAGGAACTTGCGCTGCTCCTCGGCACTCAATCCACGCAGGATGCGTTCACGCTCATCCTTCTTGATCTTCTCAGCGGCAATGCGGCGCTCCTCGGCTTTCTCTTCCTCGTCGATACGGCGCAGCTTCTTGATCTCCTCCTCGCGGACGTTACGGACCTTGCGCATGACTTCGGCACGGAAGTGGGCAGAGGCGACCAGCTTGTCGGACAAGCGCAGGAACTGGTTGAACAGAGGGAGGGTGGAGGCGTAGCCAGACGGGGAGGAGGCGAGGTTAGCGGAGAGCTGGATGCGCTTCTTGGGGGTGGTCTCCTCAATCCTGGGAACACACTTGTTAGCATCTAATCCGATCAAAGTCCCGCGCTGAGCTCACTTACTTGGTGGGTCTGTCGACGGGCTGGTCCGTGACGATCAAATACTCAAAGTCATTACCAGCCTGCTCAATGGCCTGGATCAGCTCCGAGGTGAGGAGGGTATCGCTAATCTCGGCACTCTCCGTCATCACGGTGACCCACTGGGGGAGCTTGGGGTTGTCTTTGGAGAAAGTGAGGGAGGCATCGTAGCGGTCGTTGCGGAACTTGCGCATGTGGCTCTTGTGAACAACAGCCCAAATGAAGCCGTCGTAAGTTGAGCTAGGCACCTTAACGGGAGCGGAATCCTTAGAGAGAACGGGAACGAGATCCTTCTCCTTGCCATCGAAAGCATACAGCAGAGCCTCGTATTTCTCAACGGGGGGCTCCCAGCTCTCAAAGAAGAAGCTGAAGACATACTCCATGACGAAGGTGATGGGGTTGTATCGCTTGGGCATCTTGAGGTTGACATCGAGGAAGGCAACGTTCTGGCGGCCAGTCGCATACGCGGCGAACTCGGAGGCAGACCTCTCCTTCAGCAGCGACTCGGGGTTGGCGAGCTCCACGGTGATCGGCTCACCGTCCTCGGGAGCCGGTCGGGCGATTCCATCAAATCCAACGACGGAAAACTCCTTCTGAAGAGAAGGTCCATGGGCCTGCGCCCAGTCTCTCGCCTTGCGTCGGTTCTTGCGCGTTCCCCAGAGGTGGAAGAGGACAATCAAGAGGATAACGGGCATAATCATGGCCTCCTGTTTGAAATCGCTCGGGGATGTCCTCTCCCATACCCGGTACCAAGCCGTGTAGGGGACCGCCTTAGCGGCCAGTGTGTTGGCAGCTGGGACGGCGGTCGAGTCGGCGAGGAGGGAGGCAGGCGACGGGTTGGGAGCTTCCACGAAGTCGGCGAAGTCTACCAGAGTCAGCTCAGCAATTGAAATATATCAATTAACATACCATCATCGGGCTTGGGCTCCTGGGAGCCAAACACGTTCTTGAACATGCCCGCCATATTGGAGTTGATATGATATGGATGGAAGGGAAAGGAGTGGGAAGGAATCGAGAGATGTCTAGTGCGCGGTGGCCAGTGCCCGGTGCGGAGCTAAGTTCCTCCCGGGTCTAGCGCTGTCTCCAGCTTTTGACCCGCATCGGAGAGATATTTAGGCGATTTATGCGATTGGATTAAATTCGGAACAAGAACAGAAATATAATTCAAAAAACCCCCAAATATCCATCCGATCTTATCTCGGTACCTCCCATAACCCTAGAATAAGAAATACAAAAAATAATGGCTAATGAGTGTGGTATCATGTAAAGATGAAACCGCCAAAGAACTTAACGCCAACTGTACCATGACAGAACCCAGTTTTTTACAATCCCGCTCCAAAGAAACATCCGTTTAGCCCAAACAAAGGAAGAACAAAAGAAGAATCAAAGAAACAGCGAGGAAAAGAAAGGAAAAGTGAGGAAAGATAAGGAAATCGTAACGGTCATACTCGAGGATTGCTCAAGTGCAAAAAGGATATAAGCGCTCAGTGGCCATACGCCGGGGGAGGACTGTCTTCATGCTGACGGCTCCAGAAGCCGCTGCAGGCATTTGTCATAAGCTTGTCCTCGCGCATCCGACGAGCGATTTCACCAGCGAGTCTCTCAACTAAGACGGAATCGACGCCTTCATTGGCGTTCTCGTCTTTGCTGAACGGGAGAACAGTCGCAGGCAACGGGGCTCGCTGGTTGCTAGATGGTCCGGGCTCGGCCTTCTCCTGGGGATAACCACGCACAGTAGCACGAGGGGTGGCTTCCACGTCCTCTGCTTTGGGTCCACGGATAGTCTCATGGGAGTATGACAAGTCCCCATCCCGGCGTGATGGGCGGGAGAAGCTGGCTAGATGCCTTTCGGGGATAACGGGCAAGTGGGAGTCGGCTTCGGGCGACATCGGCGGTGTAACTGGGTCATCTGACGGCTCGTTCACAATGGGGAGGGGTGCAGAGGCGATAGAGGGGGGTCTAGACGACTCGGTCACGACGCTCTCATCGCTGACGCTCATGGCGTCATCGGTTGTCTTGGGGCGACGCAGGTCCACAACACGCTTCTTGCGTTTCCGGGCGTGGGCTTTAGAATGACGTCCAGCGCCTAGGCTCAGACCATAGGTACTCGTACTGAATGAGTGGCTGGACATAGATGGGCGACTTTGCATGGAGACATTGCTGGCGGTTTCGTGAAGAGAAGACATGCTTCCAATCTGGGAGTGTGTTCGCGAAAGGGTCGGGCTCAGTGGAGAGATCACGCTCGAAGGGAATTCGCTGGTATCGGTTGGAGAAGTCCATGCTCGGTACACCACTTCCTGGATCGAGGGAGTGAACAAGGACAAGGTACGTTGCGAGTCTGACAGGGCGGC